AGTGAGCAGGCCAGCAGGGGGGCAGTTGGGGGCAAGCAGGCTGGCAGGCAGAGTGGTTAGGGGCAATCAGGAAGGCAGGTGAGCAGTTAGGAGCCAGTCCTGGATTGCGAGAGGGATGTCCAATTGCCTGTTTAGGCCCAATCCCTGTAAACCGGTAGTAGGACATCCTTTGAGGGGTCCCAGATTGGAGAGGGTGCAGGCCGGGCTCAGGAACACCCCTTCCCCCATGCACAAATTTCATGCACTGGGCCACTAGTTAAGAAATAAAACTTTATCTGAGATTCTAGGGTTGTGTGATGGCAGCTGGCATAGTTACCGAGTGGTGTATGGTAAGGCACCATTGTAGTTTCACCACAGTAACCAGAGTAACAATGAAAGCAGGACTTTCAGAAGATTAGTATGGCAGTGTGACAAGGATCTGAGTGGAAGAAAGAGTCTAGACATGGGTAACCCAATTAGATACTCTCGTTGTAGTAATTCAGTTATGAAGTGATAAATCTTGGAGTAAGGTGGTATCAGTGGAAATGGCCAAGAATGAATCCACATCACTATAAGACAGACATTCCACAATTAACAAATCAGCTATGGAAATAGAATACAAAGCTGTTCCAAGCTCTGGAGCAGGGGTCCTCAAACTTTTTAAACAGGGGGCCAGTTCACTGTCCCTCAGACTGTTGGAGGGCCGGACTATAGTTTAAAAAAAAACTATGAATAAATTCCTGTGCACACTGCACATATCTTATTTTGAAGTAAAAAACAAAACGGGAACAAATACAATATTTGTATTTGCATGTGGCCCACGGGCCGTAGTTTGAGGACCCCTGCTCTGGAGGGTCTAGAACAGTGTTTTTCAACCTTCCTAATGCTGCAACCCTTTAATATAGTTCCTCATGTTTCGGTGACCCCCAACCATAATTATTTTTGTTGCTACTTCATAACTGTAATTTTGCTACTGCTATGAATGGTAATGTAAATATCTGATATGTAGGATGTATTTAGGCGACCCCTGTGAAAGGGTCGTTCGACCCCCAAAGGGGTTGCGACCCACAGGTTGAGAACCGCTGGTCTAGAACAATGAAGTCCTCACTGGAACAGAAGCCTTTAGAGATACTGGATTTGATGTGACAGTCTCAGAGGGACAGTTTGTAACTAGAAGAGTACATCACAGCTGAGTGGCCAGAGGTCAGTCTCCTTTATAAAATGAATTCTGAAGCACATGGATGAAAAAGGAAGTTATATTAGCTAGCACATTTGCTATAGTCATAAAAACCAAAATATGGCGCTTTTTTTCACTTTATTAGTACTTATAAAATAAAAACAATTTATGAAAATATTTCCCTTTTCAAGATAAACTACAATCTTTGCAAAAAATACACACCCACAATGGTTACAATACATATCCTTATATATACCTTGGACATTATAAAAGTATTTAAGAATCACACCCTATAAAAGTTGGGAGAAGAAACATTTCCCCCAACCTTGGTCATATATTGTGACATTCAAGTACTTAAACTACATTGTTGAAATAAAATGTCTCTAGTTTCCAGGACCAAAGGGATGTAACTTTCAAGGCCCCATAGGTTCTTTTATTTGTGCAAGGTCAAGAACCAGGAGAGGGTTCCCTGAGCATTAATTTATCTTAGGTAGGTCAAGCTGTGGTTTACTTTATCAAGGGGGTCAGGGGGAATAAGGCCATGGAAACTCATCTCAGGCAGGTCCCCTCCCTAGCATTCCTATCTATGTAGTGTGGCTCCTACAAGAGGATTTTTAACCCTTGAGCTCTAAAATGCTGATTCTATAATTATCTAAGATGCTTGCAAAATGGTATTTTTGCAAGTCTAGACTCCTATATTGTGAATGAATTAGGATAAAGTTATGATAGTGTGACTTCCCTAAATAGACTTTATTTAGGACAGTGATTCCCAAAGTGGGCGCTACCGCCCCCCGGTGGGCACTGCAGCAATCCAGGGGGGCGGTGATGGCCACAGGTGCATTTGGGGGCGATGAATAACTGCTATTAAAATTTAAAAAAAATTAATATCCAGGGGCTGAGTAATATTTTTTCTGGAAAGGGGGCAGTAGGCCAAATAAGTTTGGGAACCACTGATTTAGGATTTGTTAGGTGGGGAGCATTTGGAATGATCAGTAAACCAAAAATTCCCTCTTGGAACTATTGGAGAAGGTCCTTTCTTACTAAGGCATAAACCTCAGAAGCTAAGTTCCTTCTTACTTTGGAAGAACTGTGATGAAAGGGTGGGAAAGAACCTATAATCTTTCAAATCTGAAGGCTTAAAATAATAGATGGTACATCTGACAAAGAGCTGGAGACCATTACAGCTTTAGCAATAAAGGGTTCATTGTTACAAAATATCATTTGCATGTATTTCCAACTTTCTGATTAAATTCCCAAGCTTTCTTAATATTCAATTCTCTCTTTAACAGCAGAGTATTGGCTTCTGAAGTTCCAGATATAAAATTTGTCATTTTATTTCATGATACTAATATCATGATATAGCACTGACATTTAATACCATACTGACATACTAGAATTTAACAGTGATTATTTTTTTCTATTCAAGAAACCACAAAAGTCAACCAATCATGGAATTCACAGGTCTTTACATTTAACATATAATATGAAGCATTATTACAAATAATCCCATAAGGCAAAAAGACTATAAAAATAAGTTGAATAGGATTGCTGAACTTTAAGAAAGTTGTTTTAAAAATATATATTCCAAAGTCCTCTAAGTATTTGGCTTAGAGGGTAAGGGAGGTATCTATTAGGATGAACCCTAAGAAATTATGGGTTTTGTAAGTTAAAAGGTAAATCTCTGTCATTTCAAATGGTTCAATCTAATAAATTCCTGAGAAAATTTTATTTGGCATCACACTATAAATTCAAAGGTAATTTACAGAAAAATCACATTTCCAGTGAGGAGAAAACACTTTAGGATGGAAATGTGCACATTGGCCATGCCAAGATTTCTTTCTTGTGATTAAAAAAACTTAGTGTGGTTTCAAAAAAACCCCAAATCAGAAGACAATTAAAATTATGGAATGACAGTTAAAGTTGCTAATGCCACTGAAAGAGAAACTATTAGTCAAATTTGGTGATTAAACTTTTCAAATAGTTTACATATAAAAAATCTGGCATTAAAATGAAAAGGCACAGATATGGGTTTAAAGAATAATAATCATTTATAAAAGCCTTGAAAATAAGGCTAATTTATTCCTATTTTTAACACCATTAAGTAGGCACCTATTCCAAGTTTCTGTTTGGCCTCCTAAATGGAATTATGTTTCCAATGAATTTTCAACATACTAATCATAGCAGCATTATTACTGATAAGTTTCTTAGCCTCTACACTGCTAAAAGAGCATCTAAAATTTCCTCCCGACCTAAATCCCATCATTACAAAAAATACACTTAACTTTGAGGTTGGATCCTCGACTGTGGTGCATAGGGGAGGCAACCAATCAATGTTTCTCTCTCTCTCCCCATTCCTCTCTCTCTAAAAAAAATTTTAAAAAATCAATAAACATATCCTGGATAAGGATGAAAAAAAAAAAGACATATCATATTAAAAAATTATACTTGAACTATGAAATTTATTAAATATAATCAATTAAGTAAATTCCGATTTTCCAGGTATGTGCATATGTGGTGTGTTTGTACTTGGTGAAGGTGGACTTAAAAAATACACATTTCCGCAATGATGCTTCATTTGGATCCCTGGCACCATTTACGAATGGCCGCTCCAGCACTACTGGCTACTACGCAGAGCGCGCCACCCACTGTCCACCACGTTGGTATATCATGCAGGAAAATAATCTGAGCGATAAAAGCGAAAACCACATCCATGGTCTTCATTAGTGCTACTAGCCCAGCTTTTTCTATTTGAAGGGCTTTGGTGAGAAACACCTGACCCCCCAAACCAAACAGCCCGATTAGTAGGAGAAGAAAGAACGTGTCCATCCCACAGTTCGGCAGCTTCCACATTCCTAATGCGAAGAGGATGATGACGCACTCCAGGAGGCCAACCACCGTGTAATACCAGATGGTCAAAAAGTAGTCCACAGATTTCCCCATTTTTCTGAGGATAACGAAAGTCAAGGCAGCGCACACGGCTTGTCCGAGTGATGCGAACGTGCCCTTCAGTTGATCTGAGTAGCTTCCAGTCATCTCCGCAGTGTTGGAACCAAACAGAAACGGCGGCCTCACGATGAGGATCACTCCGGTGATGGCGAATGCGGTGAAGAGAACATCCCAAAGGCTGTATTTTTCCTTCAGAAACATGCAAGCAAATAGAGACGTAAACACTGGACAGCTAAACGAGACCACCGTGGCATCGGCGAGGGACGTCGTATGGAAAGCATAGTATAAAAGGATCATGGCAGTAGAACCGAGGACTCCTCTGAGAATGAGGAAGATTCGTAGATCTTTTGGGCCTATAAACCCAGTTCTGGAAATTCAAATGAAGTAATGCATATTAAACGAAACTTGCTATTTGTTTTTAAACTATAATTTTTAATAAAGTATTATTTTAGAATTCTTAACTATCAAAAAATAGGGGAACAGCAAATTAAATATGATAATGTCCACAACTATTATATCCCTTTAAAAAATGGTTTCTAAGTATAGCTAATGACATTAAAGTGTTCACAGTATAAGCAAAACTAATACAAGAGAACTACATAAACAGTATCATTTAGTAAATACAGATATATTTTTCTTTTTTCTTATGTTTGATATAATTTGCTACATGTATAAATAGGGTGTCCCCCAAAATGTATACACACTCTTACAAAGGCAGTGTTTATTAAAGTACATTTCATTTTCAAAATTTAACAAAAATCAGCTGTTAAAGTATTAATACAGTTTTAGGGGGCACCCTGTGTATTGCTTGCAAAAAAAGACAAAGGAAAATATACTGAAATGCTCATTGTGGTTAGACCTCATTCTAGTAATTTTCCTTCTTTATATTTACTTTCCCCAAATTTTCTGTTAAATATATACATATATGAAAGCGTGTTACTTTGATAATAAGTAAAATTTCAAGATTTAGCTGCCCCATATAAGAAAACTTGGTCCTTTCATAAAACAGATTACATATACAAAAATTATTATAATGAATAAAGGGGAATTTGCTATTTAAAAAAAAAAAAGAAAACTTGGTCCTGGACATTGTGCATTCTTATGAGTTTTTCTATAAAAGCGGTACCAATGCCACATGTTCTTTAAGTCATTGAATGTGAGACAACTTTTCACTGTTTTCTTTAGGGAAAGAGGTAAAACACACTGAAAAAGAACCTGCAGCATTCAGTATGTATAATAATTGCCATCAAAGTTTTGCCAATTAAATATTTGCTAAAGAGTCCTGTGTTAGTTCCTGGCTAGGTGCATCTTGCTGACCTGTGTTGGGGCTGGACATCTTTAGGGCAGCATTTAGGCCAGACATGGGGACCCTGGGTCTCTGGAGTCAGAAATGAAAGTATGGTCACCTTTGGTCCATACTTTGAGAAGCTAGGAATCTTCCTCAATAGTGAAATTTGAAATGGGTCAAACTAAATTATCACCAAGGATTTAAGAAAATTTTTCTAGTGCCTTCCCCTGACAATACTTTTATTCCAAAATTGGGAAGATGAACAATATTGATCTAAGCAAATTTTAACTTTTTTCACCAAATCCTCAGTATATGGACTGAAACAATTCTGAGAGAATATGCACAGTATTCTAGATATAAGGAGAGTTTGGTGGTAAGCAACTGAAGCTTTTAATTTGGGGTTTAAACATCTTTGCCAAAAAGAGAAAGAGCGAGGAAGCCACCAGGAACCAGACGGGTCTCTTTTCCCAGAGTTCAAAGTACACAGGGGTTTATAGAGGTTATAACAGTGTGGGAGAGGCATACTTTTAACCTGGGGAGGGTGTGTGTGTGTGTCGGGGGGAGGGAGGGGGCAGAATTCACATGAATGAAGAAGATGGGATGGGTGAGATCAATGCTACATTTTTTACAAAACACTCTGATCTATAATAAATTCCATTTGATTCTTGTAACCACAGGTTAAAGTATTAATACAGTTTTTAGAGGGCACCCTGTGTATGCCCTCTAAAGGTAGAGGATAAATGTCATTCCCTTCAGTTTACAGATGAGAACACTGGATATGGAAAGCAGTTAAAAAGCCTCTCCTCAAGATTACCTTTCCCCTTTCCCACAGCACCTTACACCTAAATATTACTATGGTAGCCTTCTGTCTGCCCTTGTAGCAGAGCAACCTATTCTACCTAAAGAAACCTCTGACACTGGAAGACACTACCACATCCTCTTGTTTACTTTTTCTTCCAAATACTAGTTATGCCAAAACAAAGAAGGGAAGGTGGTACACGATGAGAGGAATTATACTAGGGGAGTTTTGTTCTCAAAATGAGAATGGAGAATAACTGAATCTCTTTCTTCCCCTCTGTTGGGCATGTTGTGTGTGCTTATGAGCATCTTATTTAGGTGGGATCCTTGTGACTTTTCAGTAATCAGAGCCAAAGGGTGTAGGGACTGGCAAATCTATGAGAGGGATTAAAACAGATATTATAGAGTAAATTTGGGCAGGTCAAAAGAATTACAACCGTTTATTATTATCTACTTTGCAGTTAAGAAATACTTACTTTCTGTATATTAAGCAAGGGATAACGACTAACATTTGGAACACACATCGGAATGCACTAATTTCTACAGCATGGAGGTCTTGCACTTTTTTAACAAATAAAGAGGCCACTGAGAAAAGGAAGGCAGACAATAATGTGTAAAACAAGCCAAGTCCACGACAGGGTGCTTTCTTCTTGGCTTCTGAAAAAGATTAAATTCTGGTTAGTCCTTTCTTCCAAGTTTATCATTTTCACTTAGAAACTGAGAAAAATGGGACAGTGTTAATGGCTAACAAGCTGCAAATATTACCTCCTAAGCATGTCTATTTTTTGGATCGGAAACATTTTTCCCACCAAAAATGAAGAACCATAGACCAAGGAAACAATTTAAACCTGTGTTTTCTGAAATGCAATTTCACCCTATAAAATGGATTTCCTTTAACTCCCTGAAGAATCACCCCCTCACCTACAAATCAAAAAAGAAGTAAAGACAGTAGAGAAATCTTTTAAGAAATGCTTGTCAAGATGGCTAGAGAAAAATGCTTCCAAATGATGCTTTATATCATCTCACTGGTGAACTGTGCTTTATGAAGAAAGTCATCTTTCCTGGAAAGCAGTTTATAACTGTGTTCTATGGCTACTTGTTGATGAGCTGACTTCCTCCACAAGCCTGCGAGCTTCTCCAGGGCTGGGGCCTCAGCTGTCTTGTTCAGGCCCGGCACATGGAAGACCCTCAATAGTTGCTGAATGAAAGGATGTGAGAGGGTCTCATGGAAAGATGCAGAGGGTAAAACCACGGCAACAACATGATTTAGGAAGGCTCTGTCTTTTGTTAATTTGAACCATTAGTCAAATCTTTATTTAAACCTCTCATGGTTTACAATGTTATCTTTCATGTAGAGCATAAACTCTTCCAGGGCAAGGGGAGGGGGGACTACCTACCCTTCTGACCCCAAAGTTCGTTTTTTTTTTCCTTTCTTTTTTAATCCTCACCCAAGGATACTGATGAGAGAGTAAAAGTAAGAGAAAGAAAATGAGCGAAAGAGAGAGAGACAGAGAGCGCGCGCAAGCAACATCAGTGTGAAAGAGTAACATAGTTCCTGCAGTTGCCTCCTGTACACACCCTGACTGGGGATTGAACCAGCAACCTAGGTATGTGCCCAGACCGGAAATCAAACCCACAACCTTTTGGTGTATGGGAGGATGCTCCAAGCAACAGAGCCACCCGGCCAGGGCCCAAAGTGCTTTTTAAATACATTTTAAAATTAGAATTGTCATCTAATACCAACTACCTGGTTGACCTGAGCCAGGACACTTTTGCTTTCTCCAGGCCATCAAGTATTCAATCTCTTAATGACAGTCTGACTGAGCATTAAACTTCTGTTTAGCCACTTCCTCTGTCTTAGTTGCCTAAAACAGGAGTAGAACCTTCTTTCAATCTCACCCCCTGGCATTCAGGAGAGCAAAATGGAGTAGAGTGAGCAGAGAACTCCCTAAATGGCCACACCTGAACGCTCACACACAAAAAGGAGAGAATAAGAAGTAAACAATACTGACTCTCATTTGCTAAGAGCACAAAGAGCTAAAGGATGTGTGGGGACATGCAACTTGTAGTAAAACCAGGATCAACATTCCATCTAGGAAAGTACAATGTATTCTTCCACTGTAGAATGGTATTACATAATGATGTGTGTGTGTGTGTGTGTGTGTGTGTGCATGTGAGAGAAAGAGAGAGAAACCACTAGTCCTTAAAATAATACTAATTTTGGAAGCAGTTTGCTTGGGTTTGATTCCAGTAATATACGGTACTTCCTAGTAAGTGACTTGGGCTTGGTCTTTAGCTACTCTGAGCTTTGGTTTTCTCACCTGACATACAGCAGGTGCTCAAAGTTTTTTCTTGAGCAAATAAGTGAATAAATACATAATTTTGTATTTTCAGAAAATATAACCTTCAGGGGTATTTGAGGATTAATGCTAATATAGGGAGAGTTTAGTAAAGCCCAGGTATATATTAGGTATTTTGTAAATAATAAAAATAATAGCATTTATTGCTGATGTTATTTTTTATAACCCTCATCTGAGGATATGTTTTTTTTAAAAATAGATTCTAGAGAGAAAGGGAGGGAGGGAGGAGAGAGAGAGAGAGAGAGAGAACGAGATCAACGTGAGAGGGAAACATAGATTATCTCCTATATGTGCCCCAATTGGGGATCGAACCCTCAATCTAGGCATGTGTCCTGACTGGGACTCAAACCTGCAACCTTTTGATGTACTGGATGATACTCCAACCAACTGTGCCGCCACTCAGGGCTGTTGTTATTGATTCAATACGATTGTGGATTGATGTACCAGGTGCCCATGTGGCACTTTTCTCTAAGTTAGATAGAGATCGCTCACCGTATATTTGGAATGTACCTGAGTCCAGAGGGGCTTTCCCATCACAAGTCTGGGAATCTCAGAGGCTTCTTGGTTCTCAGCTCTTAGAACTGTGGCTTGAGAAGTCTGGTGGCAACCTGTTGTGTGGAAGAGGTCTTGCCACTGTGCCAGATGTGCCAGAATCATAAAGCAACTCAGTGGGATCAGTTCTTGCTGTCATTGCTATTTCTGGGGCTTAAATCACACTACCTAGTGACGTCCAAGTCTTTGTATTTAGCACATTTATTCTCTGGGTAAGAACAAATTATGAACCTGCAGCCTATTCTTTTTTAAAGAGAAAGGAAGAAAAGCATGTTGGGATTTAAGACCTGAAAATTGATGTCTTTAATCTGCCCAAGACCTTTCCTTTATCAACTGTGTCTATGGGTTTGCATATATGCATACAAGTTATTTGGCTGATCTCTTCCCACCCACCCCACCCTAAAACTTTAATTCCCAAGCCTGCCCCAGACCTATTGAAGCAGGATCTCCGTAAACTGTCAAAGCTCTACTGGCTAGAGAATCACTGCTAAGGAACTCATTCCTTCCAGGGGAATGTAAGGCACAGGCCCAAGACAGCTTCTTGCTTCAGTCTAAGATCCACACAGCCCCTCAAGAAAATAAATAGATGCCTTATGGTAGATGTATGTTGTCTGTGAAGGTTATCCAAGAATGTAAGAAACACCGGTAACAGTTTCAACCTGAACTTGAAAATGAATTTTGTTGAGATAACCAGTTGATTTAAGAGGCTAAAATGATACTGTCACAAAGTTCAATGACAACAGTACTGTGGTTTAAAGTGTTCCTGTGGCAATCCTGTTTCTGGAATATCATCTGGTCCCCTTTTAATAACTATTGCTAAACCTTATTGTTACCAACTTTCTTTGAAGTTATAAGACCCCACACATTCTAAGTGCAATCACTTATATTGGTTTGTCATTTTGCCATGTGCCACCTGAGTGAACAGTATTCCTCTTCCATTCACAAACAGGGGAAAGGTTTAAGAGTTTGCAAAGCCTGACTCAGCATTCCCTCAGAATGACATTTAGCCATAGGCTGACAAGGTGAGGAACTGACCTCTTCAAGGTCTGCACATCTGGTCAACCCCGCTTGGGGTAACTCCTGCTCTAGAGAGAGGCTCTACCATGCATAAAAGAATAGAATTCTGTTCATTTCCGTTAGCGTTTAGGACAAAAATGGAGCAAGAGTCATTTTATGGGAGTTTATCTCTAAATTGGAGAAAGGGCATACAGAGAGGAGGGAAGCTGGGGTGCAGTAAGAGACATAGAAATCCCGAGTCGCACTTAGGGGATGTGACCCAGAAGACGAGGTGGTGCAGACTGTGTAACTGTGTCTTGAAAGGGCATCTGCTTATTTCCCTCTTCTTCCAAGCAGCTGCTCCAAGTGGGTGGTGGAGTTCAAGGAGAAACGTGCTTGAGGCTAATAGAAAGGGCCCTGGGCTAGGTTTCTGGCAAGCTGGTGCTGCAGGGACCTACACCAGATCTTCATAAAAACAAAACAAAACAAAAAGCCCAAGCCCTCACCTTCCTGGGCCTCACTTTCATTTGTCAAAGTAAGGCGTTGCAGGAGATCATGGGTTTTTCCCACGGGTCCTTGGTTTGGGGGACGAGTCCGTGAACCCCTTAACCACATCAGTAAGATGGTACCTCTGCCTTCTTGTGCATCCATTGCTAACAAGTCCTCCTAACCCCAACTCTGCCTTCCCAAGATTCTGGGACAAACATTTGTTACACTCGAATGTTTTTCAACTTCCTCTTCGGGGTACACCGTTTACCACCGAGATCAGTTTTCATGGTTAGCTTCCTCCCAGCAGGGCAGGCTGTGGGATGGCCTTTCTCGCTGACCACCCAACCTCCGACCTCGGCCTGGAGCGCCCAACTGCAATCTGACTCCACCGACTGGCCCGCAACACTTCAATTATAGGAACAGTTTAACAGTTTTAGAATCCCCAAAGGGTTCCAAACAATCAGAAACTTTCTCGGGCTTCGCGCAGGGGACTTCTGCTGTGCTGCCCCCAGGTGACAGCTCCCGGGTTTCCCGGGGCTCTGGGCAGGGGAGAGTAGGAGATCGTGGTCCGCAATGAGCCCCGCGCTAGCGCCCCCTCCCCAGGCCCCCCAAAGGCGAGACCGGCGC